AAAAAAAAAAGAAAAATGTGGGCTGGACATGATGGCTCAGGCCTTTAATCCCAGCACTTTGGGAGGCTGAGAGAAAAGGACTGCTTGAGGAGTTAGAGGGTGCCGTAAACTCTGATCTCGCCACTGTACTCCAGCTTGGGTCACAGAGCAACACTTTGTCTTAAAAGGAAAAAAAAAAAAAGAAAGAAAGAAAGAAAAACATGGATTTCCCATTATTTTTGCCAAATACGCTGGGCAACTATACAAAATCTCCTCATGCCCTAAGTGGGGCACCTAGTATCTGCAGTAGCAAATACTGATGAGCCAGGAAGGCAATTTTCATCTGATTAAATTAGAACACTGATTGGTCACAAAGATCATATTACTGGACTAAGAGATCTCCCTTCTCCTTATCCTCTTCCTCCTTCCAATGCAGGAATAACCTTGAGGTGAACAGTTGAGAAAGGGTACAGGAATCCATAAAACCTTTATTTCCTTTGACAATGGTCTCAGCTACACAAGATTCATAATTATGGAGGTTCTGAACCTGACTGTCCACCGCATACATAGTGACTGAATCACTGTAGATCTCCTTTTTAAAGATGTGTATTCCAACTCTGTTCTTGCAGTCTCCTCCACTGCCTATAAATGCAGAAATTCTATAAATTATGATTTTCTGCTGTAGTCTCATAACCTGGGATACCACCTGATGAAACTTGGCATATCAGGGCACATGGCTGTAGGACCTAGGGGACAGATTACCCTCAGCAGTACTGAGCAGACTGCAATATCCCGCGTAAAAGAGAGAAGATTTCATGTTGAATTTAGAAGCACCAGATGATGTCACAAACACTGTTCCCTTCTCAGGTTGACCTATAAACCCAGAAATTACTGGAATTATCTAGTCAAAAATTAAGTTCTGGAGTCTTTGGAGGACTTGGGCAGCCATGAAAACCATGGCATAAGTGAAGAGACAGTATGTTCTGTCATCATATTGTCCCGAGGCACACAAAATCTAGTGATCCCAACCAAAGCTATTTGCCCCTTTATGACAGCAGAACACAGTTGTTTCCAAACCACCCCATAGAGTAAATACAACTCTCAAGATTGAAGGAGGCTTAAACAATGAGGCCTTAGTCACTGCCCAAATCAGAGCAATGGGAAGCAGAATGTTCTTTGGTTAGAGGCTTAAGGGCTGAAAAAAATTCTACCTAAAGAATCACATAAGACCCCTAAAATCCCTGAAAAAAGTAGTCCATATTTTCAAGCCAACAGACGACTCCTATGGACCAGTACTTAGATCCATGGTCTCACTCATCAGAAATGAGAAAGGAATGACAGCTGAGACTACTCACCAATTCCTCTGGCCAGAGGAGGAGAATCAAGGTTTACTTCCAGAACATCATCGGTGAATGATGCACTTTGAACACCTACCATGTGGCAGACATAAATGGCTTTTGCCAGATAACTGGCAGTCACATAAATCTGGCAAGGGAACAGGACAGGGTGAAAAATGCCATGCAGCTCCAACATAATCTTTTTTTTTGGAGACGGGTATTTTTGCTTTTTTTGCCGAGGCTGGAGTGCAATAGCATAACCTTAGCTCACTGCAACCTCTGGTTCAAGTGATTCTCCTGCCTCAGCTTCCCAATAGCTGGGATTGCAGGCATGTACTATATATCTGCTATAGTCTCATAACCTGGGATACCACCTGATGAAACTTGGCATATCAGGGCACATGGCTGTAGGACCTAGGGGACAGATTACCCTCAGCAGTACTGAGCAGACTACAATATCCCGCATAAAAGAGAGATACCTCCCCCAGATAATTCTGTATTTTTAGGAGAGACGGGGTTTCTCAGTGTTGGTCAGGCTGGTCTCAAACTCCTGACCTCAGGTGACCCACCTGCCTCGGCCTCCCAAAGTGCTGGGATTACAGGTGTGACACTGCACCTAGCTGGCTGAAGGCTTTCATACATTCACTGTACTGAAGAGGCACTTCTGCAGTGGAAGCTCTTCTGTATGTAATAAAGCAAGACTTCTGCATAAAGAATATCCCACATTTGTCACATTCATAAGGTCTTGATTCAATAAGAACTGATCAAGGAGACGCAGCGGTTTAGCTAAATAATTCCCCAAATTTCTTTCACTTATAAGGACTTTTTTCAGTGTGAACTCTTTGATGTCGAAGGAGAGAAGAGCTTCGATGAAATGATTTTCCGCATTCACTGCACTCATAAGGCCTTTCTCCAGTGTGAACTCTCCTGTGTTCATTAAGACTGAAGGTTTCAGCAAAGGATTTCCCACATTTGCTGCACTCATAAGGCTTTCCTCTAGTATGAAGTCTCTGATGTTTAAAATGTGCAGACCTTCGAGTAAATGTTTTTCCACATTCACTGCATTCATAAGGCCTTTCTCCAGTGTGAACTCTCCTGTGTTCATGGAGACTGAAGAAGAATTTCCCACATTCTCCACACTCATAAGGTCTTCCTGCAGTGTGAGTTTTCTGATGTCTTAGGAGGGAAGAACTTTGATGAAATGATTTTCCACATTCTCCACACTCATAAGGCCTTTCTCCAGTATGAACTCGCCGATGTCGAAGAAGAGAACAGCTTTGAGGAAATGACTTCCCACATTCGCTGCATTCAAACGGTTTTTCTCCAGTGTGAACTCTCTGATGAATACGAAACCCAGAGCTGTCCTGAAATGACTTCCCACATTCATTACATTCATATGGCCTTTCTCCAGTGTGAACTCTCTGGTGTTCAATGAGGTGGGACTTGCCCCTAAATAATTTCCTACACTCCCTACACTCATAAGGCCTTTCTCCACTGTGGCTTCGCTGATGCTGAATGAGGTTGCCCTTTTGACTAAAGGATTTTCCACATTCTCCACACTCATAAGGTCTTTCTCCAGTGTGACCTCGCTGATGGTTCCTAAGGTGTCCCTTTCGACTAAAAGATTTCCCACATTCTCCACACTCATAAGGTCTTTCTCTAGTGTGAACTCGATGATGTTCGGTGAGGGTGCCCTTTTGACTAAAACATTTTCCACATTCTTCACACTCATATGGTCTTTCACTAGTGTGACCCCGCTGATGCTGAATGAGATTGCCCTTTTGAGTAAAACATTTCCCACATTCTTCACACTCATAAGGTCTTTCTCCAGTGTGAACTCGTTGATGTTTAACGAGGGTACCATTTTGACTAAAAGATTTCCCACATTCTCCACACTCATAAGGTCTTTCTCCAGTATGAACTCGCTGATGCTGAACAAGGCTGCCCTTATGACTAAAAGATTTCCCACATTCTCCACATTCATAAGGTCTATTCCCAGTGTGACCTCTCTGATGATTACTCAAGCTATCATATTTGCTAAAGGACTTCCCACAGTCACAGTGGTAACATCCTTCTCTAGGGAGAAGTCTCTGCTGTTGAACAAGTATGTGCTTGGTACTAGATTGTTTCATGAATTCTCCACAGCTATAATGAGTTTTTCCCCTCTGAAAGGGAGACACACACTCAGTTTTGCTGTTTGACTTCTCCCCAGTGTGAGTGGCCTCCTGCTGAAGTAATCCTGAGCTGGGCAAAACGTCCTTTCCACTCTGAATGAAGACAGATGATTCCTCTGACACATGGAACTTACACCTCTTCACAAACAACGCTTCCTCAACACTGCTTCTATCGGGTTTCTCTCCAAGGTACTGATTCTGGTGCTGATGGTTTGAACTATCATACAATTTATTCCCCCATGTCTCACACCTGTGCAGTTTCTGCTTGTGATGTGTTCCCTGATAATCTGCCAAGTGCAAAATGTCTCCCAAGACTGTGCTACATATTTCACAGGGGTGAGCCTTCTTGAGAGACACACCTGCCCTACGAGTGCTGACCTGAGACACTCTTTGTATAGAAATGTTCTGCTTAGAAGGTGCCTCCTCATCTTCTGATTCATACCAACAACCTGAAAGCAAGAAAAGAATTCAAGTTAACTCTGGTGGGAAGGCATAGCCCACCTACAAGTGTGCCTGTCAAACTGAGGAATTACTCCATAGAAATATTTGCAGGAACAGAATGTTGGCATCACGTGGAAGATGAGGCTGTCATTACTAGGCTATAAAGTTCACAGAATGCAGGAGGCCTCTGTGACCTTTATATAATATGAAAGGCAGAAGCATACATGCAACACAGAGAATAGAGCCAGGGTCTCACTCTGTCACCCGGCATGGAGTGCAGTGGCACAATCTCTGCCTTCTGAGCTCAGATGATCCTCCCACCTCAGCCACCACAGTAGCTAGGACCACAGGTGCATGCCAACATGCCTAGCTTTTTGTAGAGATGGCGTTTCGCCATGTTGCCCAAGCTGGTCTTGAACTCTGGGGTTCTAGAAATCTGCCCACAGCGGCCTCCCAAAGTGCTGGATTTACAAGTGTAAGCCAAGGTGCCTGGTATACAACTCTTTCCTTTGCAAACCACTTCTCTGCAGGAAATTACCTCATGACATGTTAATGCTATATAAAAGGATATGTCCAGGCCTAAGAAAATAATTACAAGACAACAGTTTAACAATGTGTACACACTCATTAATACACAATGTGTATGCCACTTTTGGAGAACACTCCAGAAGGAAACATGAGAAAATAAATGGGTGAGATGTGGAGTCCAGAGACTTGAATATTCGTTGGGGGATGGATATCAGAGTACAAGTGACAAGGTGTACAACTGACAAGTTTGATGCTCTCGAGAATGGAGAGGACAGAAATAGTGAGTGCCTACTGTCCACAAAAATACTAATCAAATATAATAGGTTTCTGGTATGATTTGAATAAAATCCCAACCTCATGCCCTCCCACCAGGTGCCACTCCTCAGTGACAAGCTCCCTCTGACAACATGAGGCTGAGCCTGGATTCAACTGCATCTTCTGTAGCACTGAGGACTCTCCACCCCACTACCAAGATGATGAAATACATGGAACCTGGATGACGTAAGTACTAAGGGAAAGATAGGGCAGAAGTGGGACAACTAGCCTCTGGCAGCAAATATTGATGAGCCAGGATGGCCATTTCCACCTGATTAAATTGAAATGCTGGCTGGTCACAAAGGCCACATCACTGGACTCCCTATCCTCTTCCTCCTGCCAATATGTGCTGGATAGTTTTTGAGCCAACAGTGGCTCAAAACATGACAACACACAGTAAAGGAAACTGATTACTAAAAACAGAATTTCTAAGTAGGGTCTTACCTTTCGTCTATGTAGGCAGTGACATTGTGAGTGATGACAATTCCTGCTACAGGCAGGCATAAAGTAAAGTCAGCTAAAGGAAGTTAAGTAGAACCTGGACATACAGGAGTCTTAGATATGGACAAAATCAAAGAACGAGGGGACAAGCAAGGTGAAATGCATTAGATTGACTACAAGACTCTTGACTCTGACTTCTTCCCTGAGAGTCTGTAGCAAAGCAGGTATTGAAGCTGCTCAAGGAGGGAGGGCAGTACGCACACCTCGGACCTATCAATCACAAAACCTATCCAGAGAGGTGGAGAAGAAAGCTGTGCCCATGGTCTTGACAGGAGACAGTCAGTTTTGCCAACGGTAAAAAGAGGAGGGGCAGAGACTTATTCAGGAAATAGGGGAGGGTGTGAAGAACTTACCCAGGGAGGATATAAGTACCCAGTTTTCCAGCATCACGTCATGGTAAAGGCATCTCTGAACCTCACTAAGAAGACTCCATTCCTCCCGGGAAAAGTTCACAGCCACATCTTCAAATGTCACAATGCCCTGCTGTGATGGTGACAGATGAAACTACAAACAGTTCCTATGCTGAGGTACTATAATCCACCTCTCCAACATACCCCAACTTGCGCATCCTCCTCCCAAAATCCTCAGCACAGAGGAGAAAACAGGTCCACAGGTGCTTTTGTCTCTTTGTGGGAACACTGGTCACTCAGTATAGCCATAAGCAAATAAGAAGTAGGGGGAAAATAGGGATCTATGCTGTGCTCTTACCATAAAAGCCAACACCTCTGGTATATCCAAGTTCACATAAAGCCCAGTGCAGTTGCCTGGGTCCATCAGACATACTCCCTCTCTAAATACACATATTCTTTTTTTTTTTCCTGAGGCTGGAGTGCAGTGGTGTGATCTTGGCTCACTGTAACCTCCTGCCTCAGCCTCCCAAGTAGCTGGGATTACAAGCCCCTGCCACCACACCTAGCTAACTTCTGTATTTTTAGTAGAAATGGGGTTTCACCACATTGGCTAGGCTGGTCTCAAACTCCTGATCTCAGGTGATCCACCCGCCTCAGCCTCCCAAAGTATTGGGATTATAGGCGTAAACCACCATGTCCAGCCTTACACATCATTCTTTAAACAACACAGGCACATGCCATGGCCACCCCAAGGTGACATCCCCCAACCATCAGCCTCTTTTGAACATTAACACAAATTATAGTTTTGGTTTTTCTTTTTTTTTGAGACAGAGTCTCGGCTCTGTCGCCAAGGCTGGAGTGCAGTGGTGCAATCTTGGCTCACTGCAACTTCTGCCTCCCGGGTTCAAGCGATTCTCCTGCCTCAGCCTTCTGATTGGCTGGGACTTCAGGCACGTGCCACCACACCTGCTAATTTTTTTATATTTTTAGTAGAGAAGGGGTTTCACTGTGTTAGCCAGGATGGTCTCAATCTCCAGACTTCGTGATCTGCCTGCCTTGGCCTGCCAAAGTGCTGGGATTACAGCGTGAGCCACTGTGCCCGGCTTTTTTTTTTTTTTTTT